CTAACAAAGGAACAAAAGAATGAATTTTAACTTCAGAATGTTCATTTATTAACTAGTTTCAACTTGCTGATTTCTGTTTTCCAGTTGTCTTAGAAACTACTGAATGTTTGCTATTTGCTTTCAAAATTAAACGTATGCTCACATGATAGGTAAAAGCCCCATCACTCTGAATGTGCATTTGAGAATATTCCTTTAGAAGTTGCAGGGGAACCTGCCCTTCCTAGAAGTGATGTTACCCTATGTACATAGTCTTCAATCCCTACCTCTGGTCTTAATTCATCCGTTATTGCAGGTTGTCTGAGATTCCCTTTGACTATTTAGATGGGAGTAAGTGAGGTTGGCCTTGGCTCATCTCTTACTAATCTCATTCTGTCTCTTTCCCCCCACCACACCCTATCACTTAGTCTCAGCTTTATCCAAGTTAATTTTCTAGTTCTCTTTCTACAGCCTTCACCTCCCTCCCCAAATCAGTCTAAGAACCCTCCTAAAAGAGTGGAAGGCTGACTTTCTTTTGGTTTAAAGAATTACACCATAACTCACATTGTTAGTTTGAATAGCAAGGCCCACCTCCTTTGGGAGAAGCTCATCCTCCTTAGCATTATCCATAATTCCCTCTGTTATTAAATCCTCAGCTCTTTCCTAACCTGAATCCTTTCATTGTTCTGGCAGTATTGAAGTTTAGTAGTCTACTTTTTCATCTGAGTTAGTTTCTTCAATGGTAGTACACAGTTCATTCACTTTGGGAGATTTATGTTAAAAAAAAATAATACCCTACTGACTCTCCAGGAATGGGCTCTGGGCACATATTTTTTATACTGCCAAGTGATTGTAATGCATAGCCTGTTTCAGAACCATGGTACTGTGAGCCCTTGTGAGGAAAAGACCTTGACGAAGCTTTATCTTTCCAATTGCTAAAAGTGAATCAGAAGATGTATTTGTAAGGCACCTACACTTGACAGCATGCTTTTAAAAGATAAGTCTTTGATTCTCTAAATAAAGCACAGTTTGTGCATGAAATTTACATTTGCATATTATGGTGATGTTTTCATTAGATTCATTATAGTTCTAAACAATGGCAAAGGTCATGTGCAGAATTGAATGTAATTTATGTATATTACCAAATAGGAAAGATAAGCAGGTTATGAAAGGTATATTTAAATCTGTGGCTGGTAAAGTTATAAATAAATTGCTCTTAATTTAAAGAATGATGTAATCAGAGAGAAGACCTGTCTCCTGGGGAAGCCTGTCCACACAGGTAGTGTCTGTCCACCTGGGAGTGTTCACTCCGCAGGGAGTGACCCTCAGTCAGGGAAGCTCTGAAGTGTGATGTTGTTAGTAATCCAAACTTTACCAGATTTGAAAGGCTGACTTGCTCTAACAAAAGCAAAGAAGAATGATATTTAAACCCAGAATGCTAACTGCTTAATTTATCATGAAGAATAGACCATCAGGTAGACAGATAGCTGTATGAAACTACCTCCTGGCTTTTCTCTTTGGAGCAAAAATCTACTCTATCTGAAAGTTACCCATGAGCATGGAGACAGCACAGGTGGCATGAGAACTAAATGTTTAAGGCAATGTTTCTCCACCTACCTCCATTACTATTCCTTTCAGGGGCCTCTTTTAGATATTTTTTCTCTACCTCACCCCCCCCAAAAAATTCTATTGCATATTTATTTATGTGATGTATGCATATCTGTGTTTTATGTATTTAATACATTTTCTTTTTTTATTTTTCTCTCCCCAAGAACCAATATTTTCCCTCTCTGGAGTGAGATGGCCCATATTGAGAATGCATTGTTTAAGACATCAATTTTCAAAAGCCTAAAGTATAATTCCACTAGAGCAGTGATTCTCAACCTGTGGGTCGTGACCCCTTTGGGGGTCGAATGACCCTTTCACAGGGGTCGCCTAAGACCATCCTGCATATCAGATATTTACATTACGATTAATAATAGTAGCAAATTACAGTTATGAAGTAGCAACGAAAATAATTTTATGCTTGGGGGTTACAACATGAGGAACTGTATTTAAAGGGCCAGAAGGTTGAGAACCACTGCACTAGAGGAATGCACCCACCAGATGGGCCAGGTGGGCAATGGCTTTGAGCCTGGAGAGATGGAACCCCAAAAGGGATGAGTGGAGCTGGAGGTAGGACATGAGGTAAAGTTGAATATGCAGATGGGGTGGGATGTATAAAGAGTTCAATGTAAGATAAATCTGTGAGACATTAAAGTGGGGATGCCAGCTCCTCTCAGTCCAGACATCAGAAGGAGGATCTGGGTTAAAGGTCTACCTTTAGGAGTTTATGCTATTTAGATAGTGTTGAAAAAGCCAGGTGTACAGATGACTCTGTGTGAAAGAAATTGGGGGGATTTAAAGGGAAGGGGTCATACACAGAAGCCTGGAAAGTAAAACATTTGAGTCACAGAAGGTGGAGTCACCTAGGCATACCCTAGGGAAAGCAGAGCCTAGGTTGCCAAGAGAGGTCAGTATTCTTGGCCAGTGAAAGGGACCGGCTGCTGCTGAGGGTGTTTGCTCAGGAGTCACGGTAGTGAGGGCACAAAGAAGTTGATGGTTTTGGCAAAATTAAAGGTGATCAGTGACCTTGACAAGAGGAGAGGTGGTATCTTGAGATTGCTACATCATTTGAAGTGAGATATGGACAGTCAGAGGTCACAAAAGTAGAAAGAGCTTAAGTAGACAACCTTTGAGGTTTGGCTATAAAGAGAAAATGAGAAGTGGAGAAGTAGGAAAGATTGTATGTGTTAAGGGAGGGTACTGCTTGGTTAGGAGCAGGCTTACTTGCTGCTGGGACTGATATAATGAGGGAGAGATTGATGACATAGAAGTTGTCAGGAATGAACTAGAGACTGGAATCTCTGTTGCCTGGTGACAACTGATTAATCAAGGTCACGGGCCAGGGCTGTGTGGTTTTCTTATGCATGGAAGTTAACAAGTGTTCTTGCAATTGGTGGAATTTGGTGGTCAAATTTCAACTATAAAAAGCAACTTCTAAATGCATATTCTAAAATCTAACTGTTTCCTCCATTCCAATTCTCCCATGTGGTTCTGATGCCTGACACGTTTTTCCCCATCAGCATCTTTCAGTGCAGTGATTGCCTATAGAAATTTTTGAGGTGTGAAACTATTCCCTGGAGCAAGCCCAGCATTTCAAATGTTCTGCTCAGCGAAACATAACCATCAGGACCCAGGACTATAGGAAGCTCTGAGTCCGCCTGCCTTTTCCTTCTAGTGTTAAGGATTATTTATCAGACTACTTTCTCTTTTAGATACTCATTCAACTTTTCTGCTGCTTCTATTTAACTTCATATCTCACATGGTCTTGTTAAATCATAAAGACAGAATTTTCCTCAAATAGCTAAAATGCACAGTGAGATAGTAAATATTGCTCTAATTGGTTAAGCCTGATTTACATATAATACAAAATAAAAAGAACTTCGTTAATTGTCAAGTAGGATTTCCACTCTTTATTATGCTCCTTAAAATTAGTACTTCTGGATTGGTCATCTAATAATTTTGCTCTCGATTTTTTTTTAGTGGACAGGTTTATTACATAATATGTCCATTGGAAAATGGAAGTGAGTGTTTTTAACTTCTTATACATGTTCTCTGGAATTCTAGTAGCCTTGGAGGGATTTATTTCATTCCTGGAGTAAAATATGTCTTCACACCATCAGGAAGCATGTTAATTCATCGCAGAAATAACATTTAGACTTGGAATCACTAGAGGGTTTTAAAATATGATTAAGATGGTCCCGGATGAGGGATGGAACTATGTCTCTTATTTTATTTATAGGCTGAAAAAGTGTGTGTGAAGCCCCATCTGGAAGCCTTTGTAAATTATCATTTCATGAGACTTTTTACCTCCCAGGAGGTAAAATGTATACTCCATTTTTGGGGGACGAGACCTTGAATGGAACTGAACTCATGTGGTATGTTAGATTGCTGCTTCTTGTCTCTCAGGAAGACAAGTAGACTAGAAGAGGAAGCTCCTGCTATTGATAATGCGCAGGCAGGACTTTAACCCAGAAGGTTAAACCCATAGCTACTCTGAGATGTGTCTTCTAAAAATCCACACAATACTCCTTTCAGATCAGATTTACTTTGCAGAAACAAACACCTCTGTAGAAGCTGCAAGCAAGGTATTTTTGATCTAATCAAACATACCTTCTCTGGGTTTACAAAGGTGAAAATAGGTAGTGTGCCCATTATGATTTGAATAGCTTTCTATTCTGTTTAATTAATTAATATATTTATTTACTTTGTTGAAACTGTACTTCTTTGTGATGCGGTTTCCAAACTGTTTCCAAACTGAGGCACCCAGGGTGCCTCATCATATTATAAATGCTCAGGGGAAACACAGCGGCACTTGACATCTGCCAGACATCATCAACCACAAGCTCAAGGTAGTTCATGGTTTCAACATTAGATGACACTGCATTCCTTTTGTTCAAAAGCTGGGTTTTTGGCAGTTGTTGTGACAAAAACCAGTACATGCAGAAATCAGGACAAGAATAAGAAATGTGAGTGGTGATGTCAAATTGGAATCTAAGTCTTGTGATGTTATGCAGTACTCAACAAGCACATAGCTACTGAGGGCCCATAATAAGTCACTGGTTATTAAAGAGTGAATTAAAATATTTTATTTTATTTCAGTATATGTGTTGGCTTCTCCCCCAGCCCCCCCAATAACCACAGAGTTGTCAGGTCATCAGCAAATCACATGGCTGAGCTCACAGATAAGGGAGGGACTGCCAAGCCAACTATCAAAGGGCATGGATCCCAGAAGGGGATAAAATCCCTAAAGGCAATAGCTGTTCCTGTTAAGTAAATAAAAATGTTCCTTTGGACATAGAAATGAAATTAACTTCCCACAGAGACATCTCTTGGAAGACTGTTGCTAATGTGCATTTTGTTATTGCTGTATCCAAGAGTTAAACACTCACCCTATTGAGTGACTCTTTCTGTGTCCTTAGATCCTGGCCAACGTGATCATCTTCATCTGTGGGAACCTGGCGGGAGCATACCACAAGCACCTCATGGAACTTGCTCTGCAGCAAACATATCAGGACACGTGCAATTGCATCAAGTCCCGGATCAAATTGGAGTTTGAAAAACGTCAGCAGGTAAAATGCATTTCAATCTTAATTCCACATTTTTTAGGTATTCTATGATGATATTGTTACTGTTAATATCAAGTATGCAGTTCACTCATTCACAGGCATCAGAAAGAACCCAAAGTAGCCCATGCCCAGAATGGCTGTGCACTGAGCAGAGTTATAAAATAAAGAGCAAATTCCAGTCAAGAGCACATGCCCAGGTCTCTGGCTCGATCACAAGTAGGGGGCATGCAGGAGACATCTGATCAATGATTATCTCTCATCATTGATGTTTCTATCTCTCTCTCTCTCTCTCTCCCTCCCTCTCTGAAAGCAATAAAAATATATTTTTTTTAAAAAGGGAGAAAGCAAAAAGGGATATTCTGAAGAAAAATAAGACTTACATTAAAGATGTTTAATAATACTGGGTGTACCAGTTAATAATGGCGTATTTTGTAATCAAAGAAAACACTATAATTTTAAGAGAAACATCAAAAGTGCTTTATTCAAAGTAATGTCCATTGCTAGCTACACATATCTGCCATCTTTCAGGTAATTTGTGGATACCGTCCCAATAGAACTTTTCTTGTTTTGAGGCAAACCATTCAGAGATCCAATTTTCCACTTCTTCGTAAGTTTTGAAGTGCTGCTCATAAAGTGCGTGTGCCATTGATCAGAACAAGTGGTAATCTGAAGGAGAAAGGTCTGGTGAATATAGCAGGTGGGTTAATACTTCCCAGACAAGATCTTTTAATGTGTCTTTAACTGGTTTTGAAGTGTGTGATGGTGTGTCATCATGAAGAAAATTACTTTGCCATGTCTTCTGACACATTCTGGTCATTTCACGATCAAAGCGTGGTTCAAATTGATTATTTGTTGTCAGTAGCGATCAGTATTAACGGTTTCACCTAGTTTTAGAAGCTCATAATACACCACACCTTCCTGATGCCACCAAACGCAGAGCATTGTCTTCTTTCTGAAGCGATTTGGCCTTGCAGTCGATGTTGATGGTTGACCTGGATTAGCCCATATATTGTGCATTTGGGATTCTCAAAATAAATCCACTTTTCATCACCAGTCACAATGCAAAAAAGACTTTAATGCCATTGAAACAACATTTTACTGATGACTTTTCGGTTTTCCATTTGTCTTTGTTCAGTTGATGTGGCACCCATTTTCCTTCCTTTGAAATCTTTCCCATTGCTTGTAAATTATCAGAAATTGTTTGCTGAGCAATGTTTAATTTTTCTGCAAGTTGTTTTTGAGTGTGACACACATCTTCATCCAATAATGCTTGTAATTGTTGGTCTTCAAACTTTTTCAGTTGACATGGACGTTCTTCGCCTTTCACATTGAAATCATCACTTTTAAAGCATTTAAACCAGCATTCACAAATATCTTGATATGGAGCGTGTTCACCATAAGCTTCCCAAAGTATACGATAACTTTTTCTTCAAAATAATGAATTAAAACTTCCTGCAAATGCTTTTTTTTGGCACGAAATTCAACATTTTTAAGCATAAAAATATCTATATTAACACCTTCAGAAAATTTGACATATGAAGTTTTGAAGCTTGCTGTCAATACAACAAAATAGCATACATATCAAATCGCATATATATCAACAAATGTGTAACTCCATCTATTGAAAAAATCCGCATTATTAACCGGTACACCTAGTATATAATTTTATACCACCAATGTATTTTATTATCAATATTGGGAGTCAACTCTCAGGGTCTGGTGCCTAGAATGTAGTACTTTTCTTGTTAGGGCTACAGGAAATATGTTTCTAGAATTATAATGAATGCTTGTACTTTTTTCAGACCAACATGTAAATAAATAGGAATAAAAATTAATCTTAATAAATCTATAAGATATGATCTGATAGATATAAGGAGACCAATAAAAATTGACCAGTGGCAATCTGTGTCCTTCATACAAAGGAGCAGGCCCTGAGACCATGAGGACTGGTCCCTCCATAGACCAGTTTAAGCATCTCACAAACCAAATTAATGCCCAAGGGTTCTGAGTGTCACTCCCAGCCCAACGCTATGCCACATGCCATCTTTGCTTCATCTACAGTCACATGACAAACAGCAGTGCCCTTAAAAGTGCTGCCTTCAGGGGTAGGATGGATTCTAAGCAAAATAATTTGTTTCAGCCTCAATTTGGATAAAATTACTACCATTCATTTTAATATTATATAATCCATTGATTAGAGAAATAAAAGTACATTGGAGTGAAACACAAACATGCTTAGCATAAGGCAGGGTGCCAGGTGACGGTGCCTTGCCATTGTCTTAGCCCTAGCAGCCGCCTACCTAGCTGCCTGAGAGCTCACTGCCACACTAAGTGTCTCAAGGGTCCATTTCCCAGGGTCCTCATCTCTCTAGCATCATCCTGAAACTAGACTGTGAATTGTTTGGTGACAAGGGCCATCTATTAAATTATTATTTTTCTTTATATTCTTAGAACCTAGTCCAGATCCTTGCATGGAGTAGGCAAGGAGGCATGCTTTTAAACACCAAGTGACAAAATGCCTAAATATATTCTACACTGGCTTGCTCTCTTTTTCTCTCTCTATGGTCAATCTTCACAATGCAACCATTAATATATATGTAGTTATCAATCATCCTACAACTATATCCTTTGACACTTTGGATTCCTCATAGTTTATAGCAATCCCTGGAGTACTACTCACACCCTCATGATGCACTATTCATAATCTCTCCTGACTTCTCTGAAAGTTAAATGTAATCTCTGAACACTCCACCCCTTGTGATTGCTCTGAACAAACTCAGATACTATCGTCCCCTCATGAAGCTCACTTATATCATCATTCACTAAAGTAACACTGGTCATGTTAAATCTGCAAAGAATAAAACAAAGATAAAGAGCAAAAATGTGCACCTCCTTATTCTCCCAGGCCTGTATTCCTCTCTCCAAAAGTTTCAACTATGACTTTGGCTGAAGTATTTGTATGAACTTTTAGGCTTGTTGTCATGGAAGTGATCAATATCCTTCCAGTAGGGAGTGTAGAGACAGAATTTTGAGTGTGTGTGTTATGAATGACACAATTTTTATGTCAAATATAAAATGCAAGCTTGAAATCGCCTGGCCTGTTAACTTGATCCAGATCTGCTAAGACCATACATTTAAACCAGCCTGTATTAAGATGATTGGCTCATGGGTACAGCTGTGATGACAGTCTTCAGGGTAATGGATCTTTAAAGCAGTGCTAGATTTTGACATTGATGAGTATAGCACTTAACATAATTTCTCTTTCATTCTTTTCCAGTAAATTTTATTAACAAGTTGAGGGGGAATATGTGAAGGGGGGTTATTTAGGAGTGAATGTTCCATAAGGTGGGTCAGAACAAAGAGACAAATGTCCACAGCAGATTCTACTCTTTCAAAGGGGGCAGATAGGTCCATAAACACTCAAAACTTGGACTCTGAGGACAAAACTTTCAAATGAGTGCACTTTCTGAAAAGTTATGAGTGGGATTTTGAATGTCTTATTGAAAAACAGAGGGAAATCCTTTCATTAGAGAGCAACATGCTTCATCAGCTGACATAAATGAACAAAAAATATGGCAACTTCCATATGAGAGAGAATTGATGGATCTCTCAAAGTTGGTTGCTAATGAATAATTTAAAACTTAAATTATTTAAAACTTGCCTTTAAATAAAGTTTGCTTTTTATATGCCTTCCTGAAATATGTTCCTATCATTTCCACTGTAAATTAGAATTTTAGCTACTATCTTCTGCCTTTAGTGACATCATGATTTGATTTGATTTGATTTGATTTGATTGGAAAATGAATACGAGAATGAAGATTAGAGAGGCCAAATAAAGAATATTATTGTGCAAAAAATAGAAAGACACCAATTTTATGGAATTTTGTGGGTATTTTCTCTAGAGAATGATGAGTTTAATTATTTCATCACTTACTATCTTTTTTTTACTGGTGAAGTAGAGCGATGGGCTGGATTGCCTTCTAAATCTAATGAAATAATGGCTAATACAAACTTCCAGCTGAGAGAGCGTTTGGAGAACTTGCTTTTCTGTGGCTTCAGAGAAAGTTCTGTACTTGCTCCCTATTTAGCCTTTTTTTACTGGAACACTCCTGGGTAGAGAGAAGAGGAATTTGAAAATCAGATGCTAACATGTATGTCTCCAGTGTCACTTGGACCCTGCAATGCAGGACCCAGGCCTGATCCTGTCACACCCCCTCTCCCAAGGGAGTGCTCGGGCTTCTGGAAGGCAGGGAACCCGCACACTTCTCTGAACCCAGAGCCCTTTACACATGTGCAAGTGGGAGGTTCGGCGCCTGTCAGGGATGTGGTTAGAGCAGTGGTCAGCAAACTGCGACCCCTTGAGTGTGGCTCTTCCACAAAATGCCATGTGTGGGTGCGCACGTACAGTGCGATTGAAACTTCGTGGCCACACTCAAGGGGCCAAAGAGCTGCATGTGGCTCGCGAGCCGCAGTTTGCCGACCACTGGGTTAGAGGGTTTATATGTTATGAGGGAGCCTAATTGTCCATTACACCTGCCCCAGGATTCTCGAGTTCTATGAATGTTAATGAATTCTGCTGAGATTAGATTTGCAAAAAAATGCAGATGAAAAACACAGACTTAAAGAAAAACGGTGTAAGATACAAATTTGTTTTTTGTTTTCTTGCTGACAAGATCACAGCGTGAGATGCGAATGTGCCTTTTTCCTTCTTAATGAATTGTCTGTGTTCTGGTATAGAATGATGTTTCCTTTGTTATATGTTTTATAACTTTTTATGCAAAATCTATTTTACCATGATTTTGTCGCTATGTCCTTGTCCCGGTAACTTTATGATTGTAATTGCTGTATTTTGCAGTACTTTTGTACCTTACAAGACTACTACCACTCTTCTTTTATATATTTTTATATCTTTTTTTTTCTACACAGTTCTCACACAGTTTTAATATGGGTTTTTTTCTGAAATATTTTTCAATCTTTTTCTGCTCTTATGCAGAGGTTATCTT